GGGAACCCTTTCCCGTTCCCGTCCAATGGGAACTCCTTCCCGTCCAGTGGGAACCCCTTCCCGTCTAATGGGAACCCCTTCCCGTCTAATGGGAACTCCTTCCCGTCCAGTGGGAACCCCTTCCCGTCCAGTGGGAACCCCTTCCCGTCCAATGGGAACACAAATCCGAGCATCTAAGCACAACTTGGCAACTTTGACCAGCAAAACGGTCCAAATCCTCACCTGCCTTGTGCGTGGGGCGGATTATCCCGCAGATTCCTCGGGACAGATCGGGATTTCGTTCGGTGGGGAATGATAACGGACGGATCCTGATTATTTTTTTTTCATTATCAAAGGAAAATTGGCCCAAAATAGCAAAAAAAGTACTTTTGTCAGCGTAGCTGTGTATTTCTTGTAACTTCCAGAACCTTCCAGCAAAGAAAACCCAAAATATATTCCCCGCTCCTGAGGATCGCAGCGACGCCCCATATGTGGATGTTGTTTGTACCCGGAGTGCGGCCCGGATACTCTCGTGCGCAATTTGCTGTTTTTTATCCTGCCGCTAACTGACACAGATAGTAACTGAAAAAAACAAACTGACCCTGACCTTTGACCCTGACCTTTGACCCTGACCTTTGACCCTGACCTTTGACCCAAACACCCTCCCTGGCACTGACCTCGATGAAACCTTCATCTGGTATTTTTTTTTCAAGTTTTTTTTTTTTTTTTTTTAACGAAAGGACAGCGAGAGATACAATGTATAATATAATGTATACAAAGAAACAATGTATCTCCTCCAATCAGAGAGAGAGAAAACCCGGGGGCGGGCTTCACATTGACTGATCACTGCAATAGCCAATCAGAGGCTATCACAGCAATCATGTGACCTGGAATCAGGAGCTTCGGGTCCCAATCATTAGAACTCAGGGCTTTCAGTTAGACCCGATCTCTGCTGGGAGAAAACTCAGTGCTGGGGGGGGGGAGAAAACTCAGTGCTGGGGGGGGGGGGGGAGAAAACTCAGTGCTGGGGGGAGGAGGAGAAAACTCAGTGCTGGGGGGGGGAGGAGAAAACTCAGTGCTGGGGGGAGGAGGAGAAAACTCAGTGCTGGGGGGGAGGAGAAAACTCATATCTTTTTGCTGATATTACCCCCCCATATCAGGATATTACCCCCCCATAACAGGATATTACCCCCCCATATTAGGATATTACCCCCCCATATCAGGATATTACCCCCCATAACAGGATATTACCCCCCATATCAGGATGTTACCCCCCATAACAGGATATTACCCCCCCCATAACAGGATATTACCCCCCATAAAAAGGATATTACCCCCCCATATCAGGATATTACCCCCCATATCAGGATGTTACCCCCCATAACAGGATATTACCCCCTATATCAGGATATTACCCCCCCCCCCATAACAGGATATTACCTCCCCATTAACAGGATATTACCCCCCATATCAGGATATTACCCCCCCCATATCAGGATATACCTCCCCCCCATATCAGGGTATTACCTCCCCCATATCAGGGTATTACCTCCCCCATATCAGGATATTACCCCCCATATCAGGATATTACCCCCCCATATCAGGATATTACCCCCCCATAACAGGATATTACCCCCCCATATCAGGATATTACCCCCCATATCAGGATATTACCTCCCCCATATCAGGATATTACCCCCCCATATCAGGATATTATTACCTCCCCCATATCAGGATATTATTACCTCCCCATTAACAGGATATTATCCCCCCATATCAGGATATTACCTCCCCCATATCAGGATATTACCCCCCCATATCAGGATATTACCCCCCCATAACAGGATATTACCCCCCCCCCATATCAGGATTTATCCTATATGGAGATATGGATTTATTCTGCTGTCCACCACCTCCGCAGGAGGAAACCTGACCCCGTGCATTCCACGTGTGGTAACGGACTACTAAGCTAACTAGAAAAAGTGTCTCAAATTCAAAATCCTGGAGAGTCTGAAAGGCTCCGTAAGACCACTCCGCGTAACTCAAGGGGGAAAGGAAAGGGATCCCCAGAGCCCCACCCACCCGCTTGTAGACTTCTATATTGAAGGGGCACTGAAGCAAGAAATGGTCCATCGTCTCCTCCACCCCCCACCGCACTCCACCACCCCCCCCCACCCCACCCCCCCCCCCCACCCACCCCCCCCCCCACCCACCCCCCCCCCCCCCACTCCTCCCCCCCTCCACCACCCCACCCCGCACTCCCTCCCACCCCCCCCTCCACCTCCCCCCCCCCCCCCCCCCCCCCCACCCCTCCCCCCACCCCCCCCCCCCTCCCCCTCCACCCCACCGCCCCCCCCCCCCCACCGCCCCCCCCCCCCCCCCCCCCCCCCCCCCCCCCCACCCCCCCCCCCCCCCCCACCCCCCCCACCGCCCCCCCCCCACCCCCCCCCCACTCCACCCCCCCCCCCGCACCCCACCCCCCCCCACCCCCCACTCCCCCCCCCCCCTCCCCTCCCCCCCCCCCCCCCACCCCCCCCACCCACCCCCCCCTCCTCCACCCCCCCACCCCACCCCCTCACTCCACTCTTGGACAACCACGGTTCTCCGCAGAGCGATGCTTCAGGTTGCCCTTTACATTAGAGTGTAAGCTCCTCTGGTACAGAGACTGATGGGACTGCGGGGGAGGGGACATTAGAGTGTAAGCTCCTCTGGTACAGAGACTGATGTGACTGTGGGGGAGGGGACATTAGAGTGTAAGCTCCTCTGTACAGAGACTGATGGGACTGTGGGGGAGGGGACATTAGAGTGTAAGCTCCTCTGGTACAGAGACTGATGGGACTGCGGGGGGAGGGGACATTAGAGCGTAAGCTCCTCTGTACAGAGATGGATGACAACACACTCGGTCTCTTTCTCTCCCCTGCAGCGGACTCGGAGGTAGTGGAGGTGCAGCAGGAACATGTACAGCAGATGGCTCAGCTCCAGGCGGATATGGAATTGCTCCGACGAGATGTCAGTAGGATTCCTCCACGAGGAGTACAAGGACCCCCACCATTCCAGCCTCCCCCCATACCCCCTCCCCCACCCCAATCACTGCACCCCAACAGGCAGCCCATTGGAAGACCTGAGCCTGCAGTGATGATGGGAGCCCAGGTGAGACACCCACTACAATGGTCATTATAGCACCCACTGAAGAGAGACCCCCAAAGTCTGTGAGTGGGAACCGAGGAAGAATCAATCAGCTTTATTGTAAAATTGTCGTTTTTTTTTTGCATTTTCAGGATTCCATGCGTCCTCCGAGCCCTGCGGGGAACAGACACGTGTTAGAGCCCCTCGATGCTCTGGGACCAGCACCCTATGATCCAGTGTAAGCAACCTATCCGGGACTCCAAGGGGTCTGTTTATCAAACATTCCAGTGACAGTTCACCAAATGTCCCGTATTGTGTACAAGAGATTAATGCCTGCATCGTCGGCTCCATCTACTGGCCAAAATGTGGTATCATCAATGAGAAGACTATACCGTGTTTTAGCTGCAAGATGGAGCTGACTTCCCCTACAGTATAGGAGCTTACACTCTAATGTCCCCTCCCCCACAGTCCCATCAGTCTCTGTACAGAGGAGCTTACACTCTAATGTCCCCTCCCCCACAGTCCCATCAGTCTCTGTACCAGAGGAGCTTACACTCTAATGCCCCCTCCCCCGCAGTCCCATCAGTCTGTGTACCAGAGGAGCTTACACTCTAATGTCCCCCTCCCCCACAGTCCCATCAGTCTGTGTACCAGAGGAGCTTACACTCTAATGTCCCCTCCCCCGCAGTCCCATCAGTCTCTGTACCAGAGGAGCTTACACTCTAATGTCCCCTCCCCCACAGTCCCATCAGTCTGTGCCAGAGGAGCTTACACTCTAATGTCCCCTCCCCCACAGTCCCATCAGTCTCTGTGCCAGAGGAGCTTACACTCTAATGTCCCCTCCCCCACAGTCCCATCAGTCTCTGTGCCAGAGGAGCTTACACTCTAATGTCCCCTCCCCCGCAGTCCCATCAGTCTGTGTACCAGAGGAGCTTACACTCTAATGCCCCCCCCCCACAGTCCCATCAGTCTGTGTACCAGAGGAGCTTACACTCTAATGTCCCCTCCCCCACAGTCCCATCAGTCTCTGTACCAGAGGAGCTTACACTCTAATGTCCCCTCCCCCCACAGTCACATCAGTCTGTACCAGAGGAGCTTACACTCTGTCCCCTCCCCCACAGTCACATCAGTCTCAGGGGGGGATTCTTCATGACTGTCCTAATCTCTCTGCTTGTCTCTGGGGATCTGGGAACCCCTGATTCTGATGTAGAAGAGAGATTCCCGAACACACCCAGCGCACTGCTTGCTCTTTTATACCCAGATAGCCCGATGTAGAAAATATCAGAGCTAAAGCTGTTCTTCCAGCAGCCAATCAGATTCATGTCAGGGACAGTAAGGAAGCAGAGAGATTGGACCTTGCACCCCCCTTACAGGGCCCCTGTGAGGAGGTCTCTGAGGTCTGGCTGCAGTTGATGGAGGGGGGGGGGGGGGGGGGGTCAATCCAGGGAACCTTTTGCTCGGTTTGTTGGAGATTATTAGACGTCTTCTGATTGGTTTTACTTGTTGCTGATTTTTATTCGTCTTCTTTCTTTAAACTTTAAATTTCCAGAACTGCTGGACACCTTGACCTACTCCTGGCCCCGCCCCCGAGGATCTGATGTCGGGGATAATTGTTTCTAATGACTCTCTCCTTTGCAGAGCCGGCTTTGTCATATTCTACGACTTCATCCTGGGATTGGATCCGACGTTCCAGAAGGTGCGCCTGCTGAGTGGCCTGTACAGCAACGGCCACAGGATGGGGCATTCCTCCTCCCTCCCCGATGTCCTGTGTGAGACGTGGGAAGATCCCCCCCCACACGTGGCTAATGTCCCCCATTGAGGAAACCTCACCATGTTGTCTGCCAGGCAACCCATCCCCAGGTATGAAGTCATGTGATGTCCCCCTCCTGTGCTGAATGCCCCTTACATGGGGGGTCGGTGGGAAGAATGCCCCTTACATGGGGGGGGAAAGAATCGGTGGGAAGAATGCCCCTTACATGGGGGGGTCGGTGGGAAGAATGTCCCTTACATTGGTGGTCAGTGGGAAGAATGTGTCCCTTACATTGGGGGTCAGTGGGAAGAATGTTCCTTACATTGGGGGTCAGTGGGAGGAATGTCCCTTACATTGGGGGGTCAGTGGGAAGAATGTCCCTTACATTGGGGGGTCAGTGGGAAGAATGTCCCTTACATTGGGGGTCAGTGGGAAGAATGTCCCTTACATTGGGGGTCAGTGGGAAGAATGTCCCTTACATTGGTGGTCAGTGGGAAGAATGTCCCTTACATTGGTGGTCAGTGGGAAGAATGTCCCTTACATTGGGGGTCAGTGGGAAGAATGTCCCTTACATTGGGGGGGTCAGTGGGGGGTCAAGAATGTCCCTTACATTGGGGGTTAGTGGGAGGAATGTCTCTTACATTGGGGGTCAGTGGGAAGAATGTCCCTTACATTGGGGGTCAGTGGGAAGAATGTCCCTTACATTGGGGGTCAGTGGGAAGAATGTCCCTTACATTGGGGGTCAGTGGGAGGAATGTCCCTTACATTGGGGGTCAGTGGGAAGAATGTCCCTTACATTGGGGGTCAGTGGGAGGAATGTCCCTTACATTGGGGGTCAGTGGGAAGAATGTCCCTTACATTGGGGGTCAGTGGGAAGAATGTCTCTTACATTGGGGGTCAGTGGGAAGAATGTCCCTTACATTGGGGGTCAGTGGGAGGAATGTCCCTTACATTGGGGGTCAGTGGGAAGAATGTCCCTTACATTGGGGGTCAGTGGGAGGAAGGTTCCTTACATTGGGGGTCAGTGGGAAGAATGTCCCTTACATTGGGGGGGTCAGTGGGAGGAATGTCCCTTACATTGGGGGTCAGTGGGAGGAATGTCCCTTACATTGGGGGTCAGTGGGAGGAAGGTTCCTTACATTGGGGGTCAGTGGGAGGAAGGTTCCTTACATTGGGGGTCAGTGGGAGGAAGGTTCCTTACATTGGGGGTCAGTGGGAGGAAGGTTCCTTACATTGGGGGTCAGTGGGAGGAAGGTTCCTTACATTGGGGGTCAGTGGGAGGAAGGTTCCCTATAGATAGCTACTAAAGATGAATGGTGTCAGTGGGAATTTTCCTGAGAGGCAGAATTTGATGGGGGAACCTCTTGCAACCTCTGGAGGAACCCGGCTCTAAGTGACATGTTCTCTTTGAGTTCCATTCACTGTCCCCTGAACATCACATGCGAGGCTCGGATCTGGACGTGCTCTCATTGGTCTATGAATCCAGATTGCAGTGTCTGTGATTGATGAGAGCTCACTATCGCCCCCTTAGGAATGCAGGCCACATCCTGACACAGCAGGACATCAGAGGCCGGGCTCCGCCGTGGTCACATTGTTTCGGACTCTGTGATCAGCTGATTCTTCTGCCATCTTCAGATTCCTCGTTGGCCTCTCTGGTCTCATTGGATGAATCCTGTTTCTGTTTGCAGGGTGCGGCCCAGCTCCTCCATCGCTCTGGTCATGGAGCTGCAGGCGGCCGGCGGTTTCAATCTCTATGGTCAGGAGGTTCAGCAGTTGTCGTCTTGCGGTTGGACCAAGCTGGATCTGTTCGATCACCACAACCAAGTCCTGAGTGGCCGATGGAAGCTTCCATTGAGAGGTCTGCCGCTTCGACCGGGCCTGAGCTCCGGACAACTCAACACCGTGCCGCAGGTAATGTGACTGCTCACTGCGGGGGACACGTATGGTCTTCACCCCGCCCATCACAACCAGACCCGCCTCCCCTGACCTCACTCAGTGAGTAAAATTCATGGTCACTCTGCTCTCTCCTCCTATCAGCATGCATGAACTGATTGGTTGCTTGTGCTGTTTCTATCTCTGACTCTCCAGCCCTGCTGTACAGAGATTGATCCCAGGTCAGGTTCACATACTTACTCTCCTTACATTTCATGTTCACGATTACAGAGCGTTCATTCGTGTCTTTTACATTTACTGAGAGTTCAACTTTAACAAGTTATTGTCTTTTCAAAGCTCATTTTCAATATTTTCTAGTGGTGCCCCCTGTAGGTGGTGTGAGGAGGGAGTGCTTTACATGGTCGTGGCATTCTAGTGGCGCCCCCTGTAGGTGGTGTGAGGAGACGGCGCTGTATAATGTACAGTTGCAAGAAAAAGTATGTGAACCCCTTGGGATTCCGTGGAGTTTTGCATGAATTGGGCATAAAATGTGCTCTGAACGTCATCTAAGTCACAGCAATAGAAGAACACAGTCTGCTGAACATAATACTACACAAACATTAGATGTTGCCATGGTTTCATTGCACATAACATGTAAACATTCACAGTGCAGGGAGGAAAAAGTATGTGAGGCCCTAGCTTAATGACTTCTCCCAGAGCTGATTGGAGCCAGGAGTGAGCCAACCTTGACTCCAATCAGTGTGATGATATTGGATGTGTTGCTGACACCTGTTTTGGGTTTACTGGTTTCAAGAAGCACTGTCTGATGTGAACCATGCCTCGCAGAAAAGAGCTCTCAGAAGACCTACCATCAAGAATTGTTGACTTGCATGAAGCTGGAAAGGGTTACACAAGTATCTCCTTGAGCCTTGATGTTCCTGTGTCCACGGTAAGACAGACTGTCTACAAATGGAGAAAGTTTAGCACTGTTGCTACTCTCCCTAGGCGAGGTCATCCTGTAAAAATGACTGCAAGAGCCCAGCGCAGAATGCTGCATGAGGTGAAGAAGAATCCCAGAGTGTCAGCTAAAGACATACAGAAATCTCTGGCACATGCTAACATTTTTGTTGACACATCTATAATAAGGAAAACATTAAACAAGAATGGAGTACATGGGAGGACACCACGGAGGAAGCCATTGCTGGCCAAAAAGAAGATTGCAGCACGTTTGAAGTTTGCAAAAGAGCCCCTGGATGTTCCACAGCACTACTGGCAGAATATACTGTGGACAGATGACACCAAGATTGAGTTGTTTGGGAAGAACACACAACACTATGTGTGGAGAAAAAAAGGCCCAGCACACCAACATCAAAACCTCATCCCCACTGTGAAACATGGCGGAGGGAGCATCATGGTTTGGGGCTGCTTTGCTGCCTCAGGGTGGACGGATTGTTGTCATTGATGGGAAAATGAATTCCAGAGTTTATCAAGACATTTTGCAGGAAAACGTACGACCATCTGTCCGCCAACTGAAGCTCCGCAGAGGATGGGTGATGCAACAGGACAATGATGACCCAAAGCATACAAGTCATTCAACAAAACAATGGCTGCAACAGCACAGAATACGCCTTCTGGAGTGGCCCAGTCAGAGTCCTGACCTCAACCCCATTGAAATGCTGTGGTCATGACCTTAAGAGAGCGATTCACACCAGACATCCCAAGAATATTGCTACAC